TTCCCTGGCAAGCCCAAGGGCCTGAGTTCAATCCCTGGTTCCGCAAAAAAAAAAAAAAAAAAAAAACGTAAATAACTGTACATTCTTCAGCCAGAGTCCATGATATAAAGACCTAGGAGGGTCTGTCAAAAGCCTCAGACTTGGGGCCAGGGAGATGACTCAGTGGAATAAGCGCTTCCCTGGCAAGCGCAAGGGCCTGAGTTCAATCCCCAGTTCCGCCCCCCCCCAAGCCTCAGACTCCATACTCCCTTGTCTACTCTCAGGTCTACCCTGGGCAATAAAGTAAGTAAATCCCCAGGGCTTTAGGTCCCCAAAGATATTTGGAAAGTGCGAAGAAATTCTGTTTTTTTAAAAAAATTTTTGGGTTTTTATTTATTTATTTTTTATTTTATTTTTTTAAAAAATTTTTGTTTTGTTTTGTTGTTTTGTTTTTGTACCAAAAATCACCCATCAGGAGCTGTGCCACTGAGGTACATGCCTGACAGAAAGTTGGAGGCCATGGGGCTTGGGCTTTCTACTCTCTCCTTCCTAGAGGCAGTGGGGACCGAAGTGGGGTATGTAAACCACAGTCAACTTGGTGCAGAGTGATTTGGTAACCCACTGGGGATATGGTCCAAGGCTGCCCACTAGGAGGAGGAGCTAAGTGGGGGATCAAACTCTCAGCTAGAGGGTCCTAGGTAAGTTTAGAGGCATTGCCTTTTGTCACTTTAAAACCACTGAAGGGGCCGGGGAGATGGCTCAGTAGAATAGGTGCTTCCCTGGCAAGCACAAGGGCCTGGGTTCAATCCCCGGTTCCACTAATTATAAATAAATAAATAAATAAATAAATAAATAAAACCACTGAAACTGGCTGAGGAGAGAAAGGCTTTGAGCTTCAGCCTGATGAAGGTGGTACCATGACATCCATTGAGACAGTTCTGGCACAGGACTCTGGGAAAGCACCTCCAACCCTGTCTAGCTCCTCCTAGAAGGCCTCCCTTCAGCCTGGGGCCCAGACAGGTAGGCTAATGCTAGGAAAGGAAGCAGGCACAGGGTGGAAGGGGCAAGGACAGCTCTCATAGCAAGGCCAGTACACCAGGAACCCAGGATTCAGAGACAGGTCATGAAGTATGGCTAAGTCCTAGGGAGAGGTGTGCAGCCACTGCAAAAGGGAGCTGAGCAACCCAGGACCCTCCTGCAATGCAGTCCTTCCTTTGTTATGACTTCCTTTTTTATTTTCTTATTTATTGGATATAGGGTCTTACTATATAGTTTAGACTCATAGTGATCCTCTTGTCTCAGCCTCCCCAGGGCTGGGATTACAGGCATAATTGCTTGGTTTCAGGACAGCAAGGTGCACACAGAGTTCTGGGGCCAGCATGGCATGCGGTACTGGGGATCAAACTCAGGTCTTTGTACTTGCCAGGAAGGCACTTAGACTATTAAGCCATCCCCCAGCCCTTTCACTTCATTTTGGAGGACTGTGGTTTTTTTTTTTTTCAGAACTGGGGATTGAACTCAGGCCCCTGCGCTTGCCAGGGAAGCACTTATTCTACTGAGCCATCTCCCTGGCCCTAGGACTGTGGTTTTGCAGTATGGGCATCTGTTGCTCACCTCTGGCTGTTTGTTCCCAGGCTGGACACTAGATGGGACCTTCCTGAAGCTGCAGAAGAGAGCACAGAGGCCTCTGAAGGGAAAGTAATGGGTGATACTAAAGGATCAAACTAAACAGTGGGATCCTAAGGGTGAAATTTATGTCTCGGCCCAAGTGCCGCCTTTCCCCAGGTAGTAGCAGCGGAGCTCTCTTTAATTTCCCACAGTTGAGGAGGAGGCATGTAGGGAATGAAATGGGCATCTAAGGAGAAGGAGTCAGTGGTGGGCTCTACAAAAAAGAAACAAGAGTGGTCAGCAGGAACCCTCTTGAGAGGGTTTGGAGCTGGGGTGTTCCACTACCCTCATGGCTAAGATCCACACCACAGTACCACCACCAAAGGTTCTGGAAAGTCTTAGAGCCAGGAGGGGCCCATGGCAGCACATGCAAGAAGAAATATCTTGGCTAGAAGATAGGAACTGCTTAGACCTCAGCAGGGGTCAAGGCACATGGGGCCTGCAGTTTAGCTAAGGCCAAACCTGGACTGGCCCATGGAGCCTCTCTGCATTACTTTTTCTCTTGTTGCTGGGATGAAATACCTGACACCCAAAATCAAGGAAGGAAAGGTTTATTTAGCTCATAGTCAGTGGGGGTTGCAGTCCATGCTTAGTTGGTTCCAAGGCAGAGTGGCACATGGCAGAGGGCAGCCATTCATGGTGGCAGAAAAACAGCAAAGAGCAAAGGGAGGAGCAGAGGCTGTGGCAGCTAGCAAGCCTCTCTCCCCTCCTTATACTGTGTGCAGCTTACGCACCCCAGGGCAGGTGTAGCACTCACACCCATAACCCGTACCCCCCATTGGATCATGAATTAATCACAAACTCTAGAAGCTATCCCAATGACTACATGAGGCTTTGGGGGGACAACTAGACACAAATCATTTAAAGAATTTTAATTGTTTTTGCAGCACTGGGGTTGAACTCAGGCCCTTGTGCTTGCCAGGCAAGCATTTGTTCTACTGAGCTATCTCCTTGGCCTAGACACAAATCATAACAGAGCCTAATCTTAAGGAACAGCATGGCCTAGAATGTAGGGAGTTAGTGAAAAAGGTTCTGTGGATGAAATGGGGGTGGGTGTTCCAGAAGTAACTGGGTCATAGAACACCTTTCACTGGCACTGTAGCCCTGCTTTGTCTGAGAAAGCCAGAGGATGAGGGGGACAATGAACGTTAGGACCTGTCTCTCCCCCCAACTCATAGGGAGCAGCTGCTCACCAAAAGGAGCACCAGGCTTCCAGTTAAAAGGATCTCAGCCCTTGGGCCACTTGCATTCCCTCACCAATCCCAGGCCCATTGTGAACAGGATCTCCTGGAGACACAGAGAAAGGGCTGGGGCCATACATTCTCTACTTACCACTGGCTATGAGACTTCTTTGAAATGAGGGTATTGGGCCCCAGTGGCATAGTAGAGCATGGCCTGTGGTGTGTCTATGCCATAACTGGTGGCTCAGCCATTGTATTGCTGCAGATAGCATAGGTTGTACTTGCTCCCTGTGCTACCTGTTAAGAGTATGTGGAACACCTGGGACATGTATGTTGGGCAGACCTGGTGCTCTGGTACTGTGAGGAGGTGTGCTTTAGGATGTTTTGGGAGATGAAACAGTGCAGATTCTTCATAGACAGACTGGCATCCTTACGATCCACAGGTGCCTCAAGGCCTGCACTGCAGTTACATGGGTATCAGCAGTCAGTCAATCAATGAAGCCTTTGGTCAGATGTGACATACTAGGCCTAGGCTCTCACGCTAGGGCAAGTACTGTACTCACCTCAGATGATGTGCTGGTACAGCTGGGTGCAGTTGCCATCTTCAAAGGGCACTGTGCTACTGAGCAAGATGTGGGCAGTGATACCCAGCTCCCACATGCCACAGAATCAATATAAGGCTGGTGGACCAGAACCTCAGGAGTAGTGTACTATGGTGTGCCACAGGTGGTCTTCATCAGACAGTCTTTGCCCTTCTTACAGATACTGACTGGGCCAAAATCAGTGATGATGGTCTTAGAGTCAGTGTCCTGGGTGATGATAGAGTGGATTCTCAGGTTTAAGGTCATAATGTGTGATGCCTTGTACATGCAGATACCGGACACCATCCAGTACTGTCTGCAGCCCCTTTGTCGTATCGCACTCAGTGATGGAACCCTTAGCAATAACATGGTGAAAGAGCTAGCCACTTGTGGCTAGACCCATCGGCATATATACCTGTTCCTGTGTTTCAGACACTTCCACCAGCTGGATGATGTTAGTATGGTACTCCCAAAGAAGCACATACAGTTCAGTATCACACACCTCCCTCCCCTCTCAGTACTTGGTCTCACCCTTGCCTTGATGGCATATGGCTGACAAGGTGTCTTGGGTTCCACGCATATATTACTTACCTAAAGCTATCTTGACCAATCAGGGCCTTGGTGTCAAATATAGCTGTCACACATAGATTGAACCTGACCCTATACTTAGCCATCCTGACCCTGTGTAGTGGTTCCGAGTAAGGCTCTGGTAGCTGGTAGATGGGATACTGTAGCCAGGAGGTGCATATTGAGTGGCAGCTGAAAACAGGTTTGAGAGGGCCTGTGTTATTCACCTCTATGATAAAATACTTGTTTGTGTCCCTTAGTTCCACAGAAGGGTTTCTTTCTTTCTTTTTTTTTTTTTTTTTTTTTTTTGCGGAACCGGGGATTGAACTCAAGCCCTTGCGTTTGCCAGGCAAGCGCTTATTTCACCAAGCCATCTCCCTGGCCCCTCACAGAAGGGTTTCTCCTTGACAAGATCCAGCAGGACATGCTTGAGCAGCTCAGGAGGGACCTTGCTTGTCTCATAGCCCACCATGGATATGGATATTCTGTCCAGCAGAGCTGGCAGGACTTGTTCTGCAGGTGGTGCCACATGTACACCGTATCCGGCGGATGGGCTATTTCGCATCTTTGTGATTCTGCAGATATCTCCTGGCAACAGCCATAGCTGCCATTGTTAGTACTTACCATTGTCCAACACCAGCATTGTGACAGAAACCATTATGTTAAGTGAAATAAATCAGACACACAGATTTGACACATTGCTCCCTGCTTGAATGGTTAGCACAATCAGGACGTAGAATCATGCATATACTGCTAGTGGTTCTGAGCTGCCTGGTAGCGAGACTTACAAATTACAGTCCCATTGTGAACATGTTACATATCATATGATTTCTCATATGAGAAATCCACAGAGCAAAATAAAAGAAGAAATGGGAAGATTGATCTTTTGTAATGAGAATGGGATGGAGGGAGGGAGGAGGGGAAGGAAATGTAAAAAGAACTAAATACTTGTAATAAATAATTGTTAATTCAGTGTATTAACTGCATGTTCACTTTGTATTTTTTTTCACTTTGTCTTTTTAAGATGGTGTTATCTGAAAAGGTTAGTCAGCTGATGGAATGGACCAATAAGAGACCTGTAATAAGAATGAATGGAGACAAGTTCCGGCGCCTTGTTAAAGCCCCACCGAGAAATTACTCCGTTATTGTCATGTTCACAGCTCTCCAACTTCATAGACAGTGTGTTGTTTGCAAGTAAGAACTTTCCACTGCACATTAAAATGAACTTGTGAGATTTTTGGTCATTTTCCAATCTCAGAAGAACCAAATTAGTTCAGTGGGTATATAAATAATGAATGTGTATACCTTTAGGATGTCTGTAATAACACATATCACTATTTCTCTTTTATGATTAATTCTTAGTTCTACATGTTTGTGAGGAAGCATAAATAAGGGAGTATAGCCATCATAGGAATAATTTAAAAATCATTTTATGAATTCATATCAAATTATATAACTACCAATACCATTGATACTGTATTTTGTTCCCCCCCATACTGTATTTTCTTATGAATACTTTCTTTATTTGTATTTAGGTCACGATGTACAGGATCTTACTGCGTAGATAGGATTCGTAGTGATCCTCCTGTTTACAGCCTCACAAATGCTGGGATTACAGGCGTGCGCCACCGCTCCCAGTCTCAATTGCCATCTCAGCACACCCCGGGGGCGGGCCCAGCACAGCAGTCCCCTGGGATCAAGCTCCTGGCCCCTGCTTCTGCCTAAGCAGGCGCTTTAATCCACTGAGCAATTTGACTGGCCAACTTATGAATACTTTCAATCTCATACTCTTGTTAATCACAGCAATCTCAGAAAGTAGATAAAATAATTACTGTTCCATTTTTTTCTGATATCAGGAATTGAACTCAGGGCCTCATGGTTGGCAGGCATGCGCTGAACCACTGAGCCATTCATACTCTTCCATGATTGAAAGGTACAGGCTCACAAATTTTTTTTTGGTACTGGGAATCAAACTCAGGGCCTCACACTTACTAGACAGGTGCTTGTGCCGCTGAGCTGTGTCTCTGGCCCTCACAAAATTTTAAGTGTTCTTCCTGAAATTTTTAATTTTTATTTATTTATTTATT